CCCCCCCCCCCCCCCCCCTCCCCGACCCACCACCACCCCCACCCCCCAGAACAAGCCTGCAGCTCTGAGTTCCTTGGGCCCTTGGACCCTAGGATAGGTACTTAAACCTTTACAGCACATCGCCAAAGGTGCGGATACGACTCACGCGAAAATGTCGTGCTCATTCGATAGTTGCTGCCCCACAGGGCAGTGACCCCTTCTTGGTCTGGGCATCATGGCCTGAATGTTGGCCAACTTTGGCGCGGTTCCGACGAACGAATCGAGCTCATAACCACACGAAAAATTACAATAGCATCCAGAACGGGGTAGAGCAGCAAGCACAGCGAGCCTGGCTGCGGACGAAAGCAGAATGAGGTCTGCATCTCAACGCACTAAGGCCAACAATCCTTGTGAGATCTTCTGAGTTTAATTGAGGAATGGTAGGGTGAGCTCCAAATGGGCCCGGTTCCCGAGGCAAAGAGATGTTGAGCATGCATTTCTTTCAATGCTAGCATGGCTCACTCCAAGCTTATTAAACGCTCAATTGTACATGCTTCACGTTCTTCCGGCCCGTCCAGAGGAAGCCAGGGCCGGATTGAACCAAGTCTTCATTTCAGTGTTTGACGCCGACTTTCACCTGGCGCCTGCGGGCCATCTGGAGGGACTGGAGGAACAGGGCAAACGCGAACTCACTTTGCACCTCGCTCGATACCATCTTTCAAAGCGACAACGCAACCCAAGCGGTTTTGTGTGTTCCAAACCCGGTTCGAAGATTGGATTGTCAGGTTCTCGAGTGTTTGCAGGCCGTAGACGATCTTAAGACCAAGGCGTGAGTACAAATCCAGACAGGGTCACCTTCGAGGTTCATTCCAGAGGGTGACCCTCGAGTCCTCTTGAAAGTAGCATGTGGAGAGCCGCCAAACTTTCAGGTATCACAGCTTACTCTGTGGCGATTTGGGCGATGATTGGAGCTTTGCTCCTGATGACGTGCCTCGGCTGACATAACAGCGCAACCTGATCATGCCGGGTCATACCAGTGTTCAGAGTGCTTCGTCCTGGCAATCGATTGTGCTTGTTCTGCATGAGTTCGCTATTTTGGCCCACATAAGGCCGCGGGCATGTGTAGATGGCCGATTGTCCCTGTGCAGGCGGTGCTTCTGTGCTTGAACAAGTTGCGATACTCGTTGAAATCTCGTTGAATCCGACTCGTGCACGCTGGCATCTGGTAGCGCAGCAAGGAAAACATGCAAAACATTGCAAAGCCATTGGCATCACGTTGCGCACTTGTCGTTGCTGTATGAGATTCGACCGTTATTCAACTCGGTACGCGCACCGACAGGAACTTGAGATCCGAAAAGTAATCAGGATTGTGCCCAGACGTCCGGCAGACACGAAGAACCGACCGAAACTTCAACGGCGAGCGGTTCAGATGCTTTCCGGATATGGAGCGCAAGCAGCACCGAGTGACACGAGGATACATCGAAGCATCAAGAAGCACTGCATTGAGGAATGAAAGGCCCTGTAGCCGAGAACATCTCAGCAGCTAAGGCAGCGGCTTTAGCTGCCGGGCTCCCGTGTGTCCAAGTTGACAGGTGCGAACTTGCTCGATATTCCGGTTGAGCTACATTCAGGCCGTTGAGGCCGACAGTGAGGGCAATGGTGTGGCTCTCACAACTTGGTGCTGTGCATCCCTTGTTCGGTGCATCGAGGTCGGACACTTTCAGGTGAATGTGTTGATCTTGAGTTGGAGTTATTGTTCAGCGACAGTGATTTCTTTGTGGACGTGGAAATCGGCTGATGGGCTAGCTCTGACACGAACCAAAGACATTCCTGAATCTCAGGGCTAGAGGCGCAGTGAAGCGCGGCTGGCCCTGGTTAAAACGACATATGGCCTCAAGCCCTGGAGTTCTTTTTCGGCATTGCCACAGCCGCGCAGTAATTGAGTTTGGGCGCAACTCGCTCCCGATGTAAACTTGGGCGAGCTTCTTCCGCACGATTAGACTTGGTTCGTGCCCAATTAATTCTTGGATCATGTTGGCGCATGCCGCAGCACTTCATTGGCGGACGGCGAGGTCGCCAAAACGTGCCACAAGCCGATTTCAATGCATAGGAACAAGTCTCCAGAGTGAAGCAAGAGCTCACGAGAGGCGTCCAGGACCCATAATGCTCGTATGGCGGGCTGGCGGCTGCAAAGAACAAAAGACAATGATGCCAGCATAGATCCCTGAACATGCAAGAGCACACCGACGACCATGACGCCCACGACCACTAGGACCACCAGGACCACCGGGACGACCATTATGCCCGGGACACCACGAGGAGACCACTCTGAGACCACCCAGCAACCACGAGACCACCAGGACACGCTTTCCAAATGTACTGGCGGGATGCAGGAGCCTTCGAAGCGCGGCCAAAATGCTTTTGCCCAAGTACTGGCCCGATTCGTGAGGCCGGGAAAGATGCCCTCCCCAAAGTACTGTGGCGATTCAAGCGGCTTGTTTGTATTTACAATGGCTCTGCGGGGGATGCGGCCGCACATACGCGAGGACAAACTTGCTCCACAGCAGGAGCCTCCGGCGTTGTCCGTGGCGCGCTGCGCAGGGATGCTCGCCAATTCTCTTTGGAGGAAGCCCACGGAGTCTACCACACTGTCTCGGCAAAATCGGATCATGCCGTGGGCAGACCCGCAGCCTCTCAAGCATGGCTTGCCAGTCTGCCTCGGTTTCTCGAGTGAGCTCTAGGTTTCAGTGGAAGTTTGGAATGGCGTCACCAATGGATAGCTGAGACGACGACTGAGATGATCTTGCGACACAACATCGGCGCGAATCCCCAGCAATTTTGGCTTTTGGCGCGGCAATCGTCTCAGGTCAGGATTGTTGAGAACGGAGTTGCATGGTCCCAAGGCATACTTTGGTGGAATAGACTGAATAAATAGAATCTGAATAGACTACAAAGCCGGACAGTTCCAGTCGGGAGGTTTGCAAGCCAGAGGGCCCGCCGTCAGAAACGACGCTGCGGATCGAAAGGCGAGACGTGGGCGATATTCAGTATTTGCGGCGGAGTGTCAATGTCGAGGAAGTTGCTGTCCGCAGACAAGATGATGTCGGCACCTCGTAAGGGTTTTGCAGCCTTTCAGAAATATCCGATGGTATGCTTCTTAGCCGCAATATTAGGCTGCAAACAATAAAGCTCGACCAGCCCCGTCATTGAAAGAAACGACCCTGTGGTCTGGCCCATGGTTTTGAAGTCTGGGAGTGGCTGAACCACAGAACCGCCGACTGAGCCGACAGATCCGCGAATGATGCGCCAAGCAGAATCCAGCTGCACTGACGCCGTCAGCTGTAGATGCAGCTGCACGGACTGTGAGGGTGTTGTGCGAGCGTGGGAAGCGACGTACTCCTGCGTGTGCTGCAGCAAATCGCAAAGCCAGCATGCTGAAGCATGCCAGCTCTATGCCCGGATACACGGTCTCTCTCTGCCTAGCCCACGGACCGCTTCCGACCTAATCGGTGTCCCAAGTTTACCAGGCATACTGTGACACCCTACCCTTGGCTGAAAGTACAGAATAGACCTCAACAGACTTTGCAAGAGCCACAAGTCCTGGCAAGATCTCAATAGTCTTCGGTCAGCTTAAGCTACATTTTTCTTGCTGAGGGTGCAGCTGCAGATCGTAGATGAGGAGGTGAAGGATGTGTCACAATGCATTTACTGCAGGCAGGATCGCCAAGAGCCAGCGGCACAAGGATCTAGGGGATGACTGCCAGACTGGCTCAGGACTGCAGCAACCTCGACGACAGGCGCTACCGGATGGTTGCATTGACCACATCCTGACTTGAATAAGGGGGATCGGAAAAGCCACTTGCTGTGCCAATATCAGGGCCGTCGCCGGTGTCATTCCTTCGTGCGCACGGGCGGCCACTGAAAACACTTGAGGTGCGAAGCATCCGCACACTGTCCATGCTCCGGAACATGCAATGCAGTCTGGCGAAGATCTTGGCAGGATCGTTTGACTGTGCTGGATAAGGCCGCGGCCTTCGTGCTGTTCCTACTTCGAGCATTCCTTGGAAAGCTCGTGGCCGCGTTTGTCGCGTGGCATGTTGGTAGGTCGGCCAGTTGGTTGCCGACAGCTGCGAGGAAATCAGCCAGGCGCAGGCAACGGATCGGGCCTGCGACCCAGGCGACTGGTCATCAAAAAGCGGGGAGGAAGGCAACTGTTATGACAGTTTGTTCCGAAAGGGTTCGGGGTGCGCTCTGCTTGCGTGGATGCTGTCAAGTACAAGAATGGCACCACCACACCCCCGCAAAAGAATGCAGGCTGACTTTTCTCTGCTGTGTTTGTGTTGAGTATTGGTCCGCTTAGACGTGCCCTCTGTGGCGCAACCAGACCCATTGCCAATCACGAACATTTCGCATGTTTTCGCCGTTAAAACATTTCCGCAAGCCATCACCCAAGAGTTGAAGAGGAAGACAAAGCCCGAGAAGTCACCAAACGATGTCCAACAGAGCGCACGGTCCGCGGTCGAGCCTGGAGCTGCCGAGCTCTTCGCCAAAGCTTCTGTTTGAGGATGTGAGATGGACTGTTTCTCTGCTAGGCTTAGTCTCCGAGGTTGTGCCTGAGAAGTTTCATGGTTCTGCAAAGATGATCTTGGGGGGTCAGATGCTCAGACGCCATTGGTACGGAACGCAGCAGGGTGAAGCTTGTGCAGCACCCGTCTTTTGTAGTGGTATCAAGTGGTCTCCGAGGCATTGCTTTCTACAAGAGCTTGCTGCCGGAGTGGGTGAAGCCGGACAGCCTGCCCGGTTCGACAAAGTGAAGAACTTCATCACGCTTTAAGCCAGGAGCCTGTGGAAGACCTCGTCCCAGTTCCGTTGAAAGCAGGTGTGGAGGCCGCGAGATCTTGCAAGTCGAGTCGCTTTGTGCACACATGGCATGGCTTGATGTAAGACGCAGGCGGAGTGGGCGATATACAACGAGCCCAAAGGGGTCAGATGCTGAAACTTCCTGATGCATCTAGCCAGGCATGCACTGCGACAAAGTGGTGCACGAATTGGCTCAGGTTTGTGTCAACATAACGCCCTGGAATGCCCCGGCGACCATCAGTTTCGCCAATACGATTTCAATGCTGGCGGCTGGGAATCATGCCACTAGCTGCAAGGACACATTTCGTAAACTGTTCCGGGGCACATGTCTTAGAAATTCTCAGAATCAGACTGCGCCACTGGACTCCACATGCAAGCGAGGTTGTCATCAAACCCCCGGAGCTGGTTCCCACTGTTTCGGCAGTCCTGCGGCGACTCTGCACGCTGCCTTTGACTGGAATCACAGCACTGCTGCAAAAGCTCTTGCAGCGCCATGGTGCATTCCCACAAGCCTTGCCAAGGTCAAAGGCCAGCCATGTCCAAATACTTCGCAGTTGACTTCTACCGCACTGCTGCTTTGCTGTCACGCGCTTTGGAACTGATCTGAATTGGTAGGTACCTGAGTGGCTATGTGTGGGTCGAGGAGGGTGGAAAAGAGGTACGTAGAGCAGCGATTGCATGTCCTGCGCAAAAGACCGCATTGGCAGGTTGTCGAAAGGCTCATTGATGAAGGAGCGTTCGCTTTGCTTTGCTGTGGCATTGCGTCGGCGCAATCGTGCAACCTCTCGGCACGGTGCTCTGCATGTCCACTGGCAGGGCTTACGCGTCGGGATGCCCGCACCCCCGAAACCTGGTCAGGCCCTGGCACGAGCGCTCAACAAGACAGGCGCTTAACACTGACAAGTCCGAGCCTGTCCACCTCAGCAGAAAGATTTCGAATTTCTTTTCCAAAGCGGATCGTCCAAGTATCCAGCCGGCAAAACACAATCGCGGTTCGAAATCATGCAATTGAGGCATGTTGAGGCTAGAGTGCCAGCGGGAGGCCACATTGACCACACAATCCCGTGGAGTATAGGCACTTGAGTAAAGCGTGCAAGCCATAAGGTTGCTGCAGCTAGTTGACAAGAGGTTTCAGGCACAACGCCACGCAACAACATGTGTGGCACCACTAGAGAACTCGCATTTGCCACGAATCGATGAAGGAGCTGATCATGTGGCCGTCTCCTCACGCAGTCAACATCAGTTAACATGCGTTGCTACTTCGCTGGTTCTGTGCTTCCTGGCTCTCCATCTGAGTCCTTCACCGGCGGCGGCGAGATTGCCAAGCTCGTGGCTGCTCGCTGTGGCCAGGCTTTAAGCGTCCTGATGTGGGTGGCATTTTCGGAAGTCCTTCCGTGTGGGGCCAGCCTTGCCAGATGTTGACCCCGATGACTCTGGAGCTCGGCGGGAAGAGTCCGGCATTTGTAGATGCTGGGTAGTCGGCACAGCTCCGTAAGCTGGATTTGAGGCGACGTGTTGCGCTTCCTGAAGCATGCGAGGTTGGACGAGGGCATGCTGCGCAGCATCGTCCAAGAAATTTTGGAGACCAAGGCGATCCGATGTGGAATTTGGTGGTTGGTGATTGCGGTGGTGCTCCTGCTGCCGATGATTCCGCTGCCGGTTCTGCTGCTCCGCAAACAGATCAAGACCCCAATAGTAACAGAGTCCTCGGCGGTCGGCTGAGCTAGAAGAGGAAAGTGATAGGAGGTTGGGAGAGGAAGTTTTCCTTGTTGTATTAGCAAGCCACTGGCTGAGCCGCTGTCATGCTGTTTCTCTGAGCATCCGATGCATGCCACTGCTATCCACTGCCTCCGAACACATGGATCCAGCAGAACGGGTGACACGTGTACAGACAATGCGCAGCGTCGAAAGGCCATTTCAATGCTGGTCCATAGAGACGAAAGGCAGCGCTCGTCTGGCGCATAGCAGCACTGCGCCTGACTCTGCCAGCTGCAAAAAGGTGTAAGTTTTCATGGATGCGATCCGCATGTAGCATTGAAAACATCGGAGTTCACTATGCCGTCTGCCCTGTTACGAAATCGTTCCGCGGCTTGTGCTTGCCTTATCATTGCTTGGCTGACCCTCAATGTCGCAAATGGTGCAGCATGCCAGGTTTTCAAGACGGGGCAGTTCTGCTGTGCGCACGATTATGTCGGAGCCCGGCAGAAACGGGACCAAACGGCATGGGTGCAATGATTGTGCAATGGATTCTTTCGTTCTCTCTCTCTCTCTCTCCCCATGTAGAGAGAGAGAGAGATATGTGTATATATATATATTTATTTATTTATTTATTTATTTTTTTTATATACATATATATATATATATATGTGTGTGTTTTTGTGTGCGTGTGTTTATATACATATATATATATATATATTATGTGTACATGGTTCCACCCAAGAAAACCCACACCTCAGATTTACAGGGGCGCGGATTCGCAGATCGGACAGATGCCAGATGATAGAGTGAAGCATTACGACATCCAGATTTCGTGCTGAAAAATGAATGCATGCAAGAATCTGCTAATGCCATGGTTAGTTTGGTTTGAATAAAGACCCACTTCCTTCTTCTCGATAAAAAGCAGGGTAATGGCATCACTGACAAGGTTCGCTGGTGTAAATGAGTTTTCTTGCTTTTGGAATATCTGATTTTGGAGGACTGCGTGAAGTCCGATCAGCAACCGGGTTTCCGCATATGCTTTGGACCAACTTCAGGGTCAACCTTAGATGTGAATTTGGGGTCACATACAGACTGGAGATGGGGATGCAGCTACCATCCCTCGACTCAGGCATCAAGGAAAATCATACCATCGCATGGTGGATTGCAGCCCGCTTTTCAAAGGCCAGCTTCGCATGCTTTGCGACAACAAAGTCGGGGGGGGGGTGCGCGGTGTATCTGAAGAGGCACTCAGTGTGGACTTCAAAACTTTTTGTGGAGAAGACTGCTCCTGGCAAAATTTGATCCAATCCTCTCTGCCGTAATTTCCTTGTTTTCCGGTAGGAAATGAGGATTGAACAAATTTAGTCCAGAAGGAGGGGGGAGGGTGAACGGAGAGGTGGGGAGGTAGGGTGCTGGGGGATGGGAGGGGAGGGAGGGGGGAGCCGCCAAATCCCAACTAATTGAAATAGGCCCGATTTCAATTATTTCAAGTATTGAAATGCTGGGGTCCCAAAATAATTGAAGTAATTGAAATCGGGCTTGTTTCAATTATTTCAATTATTTGGGGTCCCAAATACTTGGAATAATTGGAATCGGGCTTATTTCATTATTTCAATCATTTGGGGTCCCAAATAATTGAAATAATTGAAATCGGGTGGTCGGGCAAGCCCGAGCCCCGAAACCCCACCATTGAAATAATTGAAATCGGCCCTGTTTCGATTATTGAAGAACCGCATGCTGTTAGCGCAGGGACTTGATCGCGTGGAGGCTACGCTTTCTTGACCGCGGCCCCTTTTGAGGCCTTGACCCAGCATGGCTGCTGGCAGGAAAACGGTTCGTCTGTAGCAACGACTGTGCGCCATAGCTGCTTAGTGGCACCGGAGCCTGAACCACGGCAACAGGACCTTTACGCTACGCTTCCGCTGTGTTGCACTCCCTTCTTCGACCTCGCTGGCGGCTCCTGGGTTGCACCTTCAGGTGGCTGGCTGGCGCGGAGGACCACGGTCACTGTCCACTTGCAGCGGCTTCTTTGTGAACCTCGGTGCCTCCGACCTTTTGGCCTTGACTATGAGGCCGTGCTTTGAGGAACTTCTTTCTGGACTGCCCGACTGCCGTCGGCTTCTTTGGTCCGGGGCCCTTTTGGTGGTGACTGGGCCACCCCGCTTTGCTGTGGGCTCCAAGCCCCTTTTTCTGCTTCCTGTTTGTGGTGAGGTGGACCTGCAAGCGTCCGCCCTGCCGCGATCCAGTGACAGCGGAGGGCTTGAGTCCACCGCCCTTTTTGATGCCATTCATGAACCGCCTGAAGCGGAAGCAGCTGAGGTGGCCTTTGCGAGGAACGACGACCCGTGAAGGCTCGTCGCCCTGCCTCGCTACCGGGCCAAGGGATCCTGGCTGCCTGCACCTCGGCCCGGTCCCCGGTCCCTGATGGGCTTTGAGGAGATGAGCCTGGGCCTCGGCGAGGCAGTGGAGGCCAGCTGGGCGTGATGGATGCGACGCAGGACCTGTCCTTCGCCAAGCTCCAGCGGGCACTTCGACGTGCAGATGCCGCTCGCTCGCGGAATCCGACCGTGGCTGATGCCCCGAGCCTGGGCGACCTTGTCTACTTTTGAAGAGAGAGCAGAAGTACAACCGTCGGGGCGGGGCAAACAAGCGCCGTCTCCTTCTTGGAAAATGGCATGGGCCCGCTCTTTTGGTGGCCTTTGAGGGGAACAACGTCTACATGACCTCCCGCGGTTCCTTGACTAAGTTGCTTTGGAACATGTTCGGCGAGCTTCACCGTTGGAGCAGCTGGCCTCTGGAGAGTGGGAGGTCGTGCTCAAGGAAGTGGTGGAGGCTGCAGGCCATGACCAAGAATGGGAAGTGATCGACAACGGGGCTGGTGATGCTGTTGCCCCGGAAGATGACGATGGAGGTGAAACCCATGGACAGCGGGAGCCTCATACCTTCGCAGAACCGGGGGTTCCTTCTAGTGAACAGATGTTTTTGAAAGCCGTGGACAGCGAGCCACACACTGTCGCAGAACCTGGGGTCCCTTCTGAACCGATGCTTAGTTTCTTTGAGCGACTCCAGGACGCGGTGGTCAAGGCAAGGGCTCGTAGCGGCAGTGACCTTCCTCCTCGGTGTCTAGTTTACCAGTTTCTCGAAGACCGTCTGTGACCGCTGGAGAGCAAGCTTCCTGGGACGCCTCTCGGCAGGCTCGTTGGCGCTGCTGGCGAGTTGGCCGCTCCTTCTTCTCCGGTGGGACCCCTTGAGAGCGAGAATGTGGCTGAGGGGCGGCGCTACGGGAAACGGCCGGGAGAGATCGAGGCCGAGAAGCTGCGAGGACAAGTCCAAGGCAGCGAAGACCAAGCCGCAGCCGAGGAACACAAAGGCGCTGTGGAAGAGAACGATGCACTAGGAGTGGCCCACCAAGCTGGTGAAGTTCACCCGCTTGTTCTGTTACAGGCTGAGGCAGCGATGGACCGGCTCTCGGGCGACGGCGGCAAAGCAGCAGACCATGGGTCCTGGGATGGAAGGTGGCCCTTACCTTCCAAAGAGCAGTACGAGAACTTTGCGCGAGCCGGCTCGAAATGGCCGACCTCCCGCGACGCTTTTGTGGCAGAGGCTGCCAGGAGTACCGCTGGGGCCAAATGGACGCCACACAGAAGGCTGCCTTCAAGGAAGCGGCGGCCGAGGTTTCACCGAGGAGGAGTCGGAGAGAGTGCTGGCGACTTTGCGCCAGCGAGGCGAGATGCACAAGGTGCAAGAACGATGGCCGCCGGACGCATGCACAGGACCTCCCTCTGAAGGCTTCAGCGAGGTTGGCCGTTCCCGGCTTTAAAGACGTGACCGCCTTCGACATCCGCAAGGACGCACCAACGGCGAGCCGAACGAGTCAGCACCTCCTCTTCACCTTGGATGCCAGCAACTACACAAAGACGGCTGGCGGACCGGAAGCGCAGACGTGAAGAGCGCCTTCATGAAAAGCGAAAAGTACATGGAAGGGACCAGGGAGCTCTACCGGCGCAGCGTGGAGGTGCGCGGCGACAGCCCTTCGTTGCCAGTTGGGTGCCGCCTTTCCAAGGTACTAAGGGCGTCTTCGGATTAGCCGACGCCCCTCGGAAATGGTTCCTTAGGCTTCGAAAAAGCTTGCTTCGCGGGGGATGGAAGACTTCGGCAATGGACTCAGCGACCTTCTTCCTCTGGAGCGAAGAGGTTGATCGGCATACTCTGCAGCCACGTTGGCGACCTGTTGTTCAGTGGCAATGCAGAGGCCTGGGCGTGATGCCTTGGGCAGTGAACTGGGCTTGCTCGGTCGAGCGGGACTCCTTTGCGTACTGCGGGAAGACCGTGACGCAGGACACCACCACGAGCGAGATCACGGTCTCGATGAAGGAGTACTCGAGAACTTAGCCACTATCCGCGTGGCGGCCGCCCGGAGGCGAGACATGCGAGACCCAGACTCGGCGCTCTCCCCAGAAAAAGCAGAAACAACTGCGAGCACTTGTGGGGTCCCTACAATGGCTGGTGGCCCAATGCCGGTTCGACGTGGGCTACAGTCTGTCGACTTTGCAAGCCGAGGGCCTCACCGTGCAGACGCTCCTTAAGGCCAATCACCTTATGAAGCTCTTCAGAGAACAGCGACTTCTGCCTCGCTTTCGCCCGTTGAACCTGGCCAAGGCCGGGATCCTTGTTGTCAGTGACGCGTCGCTGGGCAACGTGACCAACACTGGGGCGTGTGGAGAGCAACCGCTCGAGCGAGTGTACAGCCAGTCGTGCTACTGCATGCTCCTGGCCGAGGCTTCTCTACTTCAGGGAGGCACAGGGCGCTTCTGTGTGCCTGACCACAGGAGCCACCTACTACAACGAGTTTGACCCTCCACGTTTTAAGTCGAGTTCGTCGGCGTTGAGGAGGCCATGGACGTCGGGCAATACTGTCGTGGACACCTGGCCGAGACCTGTGGCTTTGACTTAGGCCACAAAGACGTGGACTGCATCCTGGACTCCATCGACATGGTGGTGGTCACGGATGCCAAGGATGTCTTCGACAAAGGGAACTCCGACACTCCTTCGTACGGGAGCCAAAAGTCCTTGGCGTTTACCATCGCCTGGCTGAGAGGGATGCTGTCCAGCGACACCGTCCACCTCAAATGGACGGCGACAGAGAACATGTTCGTCGACTGCGGCACTAAGGAGCTGGCTGGCGAGCACATGCTCAACAACATCCTGGGAACAGGAGAATGGAGCTACCGCTACGACCCGAAGTACGTCAAGCAGACCACCAAGAAGGCGACGAAGGCCCAGTGCGGACCACCTGTCGTGAGCGGGGAAGCCGTAGCAGCGAACGATCCCATGATGGGATTCCTTCAGGGTCTTGCGCCCGTGAAAAGGTGGCATCGTCGCAACGACCTAGCCATCCAGGTGGCCTACAACGCCAAAAGCATCCGTAGACCAGAGCCTCGCTTCGACCCGAAGAAGTATAGCTTACGTTCGAGTTATGCTCTGTTTCATGATGAACGCGGCCTCCTGGAGACTTCTTGAACGCGAGAAGATCAACGGTCGCTTTCAAGCTCCTTTAGATCGCACCGCAGCCATCCTTACCACGATCTTCAAGTCCCCAATAGAAAGTAAGATCCCTGAAGAACCGCATGCTGTTAGCGCACGGACTTGATCGTGTGGAGGCTACGCTTTCTTGACCGCGGCCCCTTTTGCGGCCTTGACCCAGCATGGCTGCTGGCAGGAAAACGGTTCGTCTGTAGCAGCTACTGTGCGCCATAGCTGCTTAATTATTTTCATTATTTGGGGTCACAAAGTAATTGAAATAATCGGGCTTATTTGAAATGGTGGGGTTTGGCGGCTTACACAAGCAAATAGGGATCTAAATCAAACCAATCATTTGGGGGCCCCAATTAGTTGCAATAATTAAAATCGGGTGGTCGGGCAGGCCCGAGCCCCAAAACCCCGCCATTTCAATAATTGGCATATTTCAATTATTTCAATTATTTGGGTCCCAGAAAAATAGGGCGTCAGATAGACCCTAGAGGTCTCTCTCTCTCTCTCTCTCTCTTATATATATATATATATGTACATACACGCATATCCGTGCAAATATACGCATAAATCTAGAGTGGTTTATATGTTGATACCATTCATATTTGTGAGTATGCCGAATATGCATATAATATAGATCCCAATAAAGTTATAAGCAACAACATAAATATGCGCGAATATATATATATATATATATACACACACATATGTATGTGTGCATAAAATGATTTAATTTCGCCTGCATTTTCAATAATATTTCACTTATGCAAGTGTAACTACAAGTGCGTATATATGTATATTATACACATAAATGTATATATATATATATATATATGCGTACAGATATCGTGTATGTATTTAACTGTTATGTATATATATATATATACACATATGTATGCGTTTGCTCATCGGTAGCCGCTTAGGTCTTGATCCACGAATCGGTCCTGTCTGCCTTCTGCCGTGTGTTCAAGGTTGAGACACCAAAATGCATCCGGGCACTGCAACATGCCCATATTAATTGACAGGTCATGGTTGAGGATCTGGGTGCCAAGCCACCGCCTCAGGAGTTTCCAAACCAACACGAGATCGGAAGCACACTGCAAGCGCGAGCATCGTCCTTTTTCAGAGGCGCAACGTGCGGATGCTTGGAAGGAAGCAGTACAACAACATGACCCGGCTGTTTCACGACTGTCAAGCGGAGTGCGCTTCGACCTCGGCGCATGGTGTATTCACTTGGTGGAGACTTTCGTCAATCCAACCGCCTCTGGCGACTTTCGTCAGTCCAACCGCCTCAGATTCCACCAATCAGCGACAAGTATGGCTTCCACGATGAGGCAGCTCTTATTTCGTGACACGTGTAGATGTCACCATGAACGCGTTTACCCCTGGCTGTGGCTTTGCAGCTGCATCACCACTGCAGCATTGCAGTGCCGTGACAGGCGATGTCCGTGCCGATGACTGGAATTCTCGCACCTGCACGAGATCGAGCTGTCGGGAGCTTTCCTTGCGCAAACGGGTGAGAGGGCTTGCAAGGGCACACGTGCCATTGTGAAGTGAAGTCTGGGGATGGATTGGTATGGGGAATACCTGCGGCGAGCCGGGGTACGCGGAAAGCATGCAGTCACGCTTTTCCTCATGCACGAGGTCCTTCAGCAAGAAATTTTCGGACCCCTGCTGCCCATCCTGCCTGTCCGGGATGTACAGGAGGCGCCTTCACTTCCTAGTCTCGAATAATTTTGTGCTTTGTACAGCAGAAACTGCACGAAAGGCTATTTGCATCATCAATGCCGTCGCTACCAAGCCCTTGATTGCATATTGCTATACCCAGGATGGTTCTTTCTCGCTTTGCGTGGTGTCATGTGACATTGGTCAACATTGCTCAGTTTTCCATCTCACCGTGCCAGGAATCACAGGTTGAGGCAGAATTTGTCAACAACGTGCCCGCTGGCAACATTGCCGTAAATGGAGGGCCTATGGTGCGCAACTGTTGTCTTGTCTTGGCACGACTTGCAGCCCTTCGGTGCTTCATTGTCTGTCCTTGGGCCAGCGCATGATCTCCAATTACGCTGCCAACTTTGGTGGAACAGGGCCAAGTGGCATGGGTTCCCGTCTTAACTTCATTGAGCTGTCCGTCTTCTGGCTGCAAGCGAACGGCAAGCTCCTGCTAGGTGCTGGCTTCTGGGGGAGGGACGGTCTGAAGGAGTTTTCCAATCGGAAGCACGCCGCAGACCAAGCAGCTGAGTTGCATCGTGCACAGCACGCGTATGTATTCAGAGTCTAGGATCGCTGCGCGCATATTTGGGAGGAGATGCTGCGCATGGTAGGTTTTTGAGGAGCATCACTTCTTCTGAACTCGTCAACAGAAGGGTGGGTGGGCCAGAAGCAACAAAAAACGTATGTGTGACGAAGAAGGGAAAGAATCGAACATGCCTCTCAGCAATTCCCACCTCTCCCCACCTGTACTTACCTTTCCACCACGATGCCAAGCTGCAAGCTGAACTTGTGGAGAAGTCATGCCAACTACAGCATGCTACGGTCAGCAGAGATTCGTGCCTCAGATTATGCCCACCACGCAGCTGGAAGCCGCGGCAGGTCATGTGTGGCCGCAACGGGTTCGCAAGGTGGGCTCGACCAAACTTGCAAACTTTGGGGCATTTGCGGCCAACGATCAGGTCGTTCTTTTCCGGTCCGCCGCCCCCAGCGTAGCCTGTGAGCACGGTCATTGAAGATCCAGGCTGCAAAGTTCAGCAAAGCCTTTTGGAATGTGCTCGCGCAGTCGCTCAGAGTCTGCAACACCAGGTCCTGTGACCGGCGGAATGACGTGTTGGCTAACTGCAGTTCTTGACACGAGGATGTCGCAAGCAATTTCAGCAGGAGTCAGATCCAGACAAAGCCATGGAAACACCGGACATGCAAGGAAAGACATCAAGAATACACCTACGAATCATGTGGCTCAACTTGCGAGCCCGTGCAGGCAGATCAAGAAATAAGACATCTCCTTGGCAGACGACATGCATGGAATGCGTGTTGATTCCCAACTTGGCAGACGGTTTTTCGCTAACAGGGCATGCATCAGTCTGATTCTGTGGCTGGCATTGCCGTTGGCATGGCGTGACTGCTGAGCTCCTGGGCCAAAGCTGTGCCTCTGGAAGCTGAGCATGAGCCGCGAAGCCGCCATGGCCGGTGGGATTGCTGGCGGCGTGGAGTCAGTCGTGGTTCGAATCTCATTCAACCGCAGCACCAGAGTCAGCAGGAAGGTTCGGCGTACCAGCTCGAAAGGTACAGCCGCTCGAGATGATAAAGACGAGGCACAGACTGTTCTGCAAGTGCCCGCCTGCAGAATGTATGCTTGCCATGGAAAGCAGTTTCCGTGGAGACCGAAACCCTGTTCTGTTGTCGAAGTATCAAATTCTAATCGCAGTCCTCGACGTTTTGCCAAGCCGAGGTCTGACCTAGACTGGTGAAGGGGCATCCCGAGATATGTTCGAACATGCGATGTCTTGAATGTCTTGACTTTGGAGCTTCATAGAACAGTGCCGCCACAGCTTCCGATGCCGACTCAAGCTGTCTGTGTCTGGTACTACCCGATTCAAAAGCCAGGTTTCTGCAAATTTTCTTGAAGCAGCGCATGCGTGCTAATCAAAGCCGACAGATTCCCCGCACTCATCGACAGCCTCTGCAGCACAGCCAGTTTCGAAAAGCTCACCAGCTGCCTTGCTTCACGCGGTTTCATGACAAGCCCCGCCCCGAAGGTTCCAGCTCAGCAAGGCCGCGAATCCAACGATGTCGAAACCTTACAATGCTTTGTTTGTGGTGCAGAACTCGAAGCAACTCTTGACGCAGACGCTTGCACATTGCCGGCCGCAAGGCTGCTCTTGGGCTTGAAGCACGGGTTGATGATTGCAAACCTGTATAGGGCACCCGCCGGTCAACACCGACGTAACCTCATGCTGACGCGTGGATTCATGCGCTCAGAGCCTCGATGGTAGCGATAGAAAACTGTCCAGTCAAACATCACGAGTTGGCACGATGGCTGAAAATGCCTTCGTGTCAGAATATGGATGGTATTGGCGGCTGCATCAGGGGCATCTGTGCGGGGCTTGAAGTGGACTCTCACTTCGAGCACTTTATGCACATGTAGCGGCTTAGGCATCCTTTGGAGGCGTTCCGAGAGGAAAGATGTCGCACAGCACGGCTTCTTTGGCGAAGGCCAGCCGAAGTCACTTCATTCTCGTCAGTTCATCAGCACTGCATTTTTCGTTGAGGCCTGGCCGAAATTGATGCTCGGCGGGAGGATTCGGTTGTCATACCCGACCGGCTCATCGTTGCAGAGAATGGTGAACGAGGATGCATCAAAGCAGCGCATGGAGAAAGAAAGGTGTTACCAGTACTGTTTTAGGGCAGGCATGCCATTTCGTGATACGATAGCGGAAGGACCAAGTGAAGGCAAGCTTGGTGCCCTTGCATTGGCCATCGGACGCCTTTGCCTCAGAAGGCTTGCGACATGTTTCCTCAAGGAAAACTGACATCAGGCCAGGTGGCTCTTAATCCAGGTCACGCTTTTGATCACATTTGGGGTGGCGTTTGTACATGATTTGCTCGCACACAAGCGTAATTTGGAGTCAGGCGCAGATTTCCATCACACCCCAGCGTCCAGATAAGTGTGCTATCATGAGCTGCGCGGAGATGCTGGCTGGTACAGGGGCCCGCCACAGACCTCATCATCCGAAACAGGCTTCAAACCTGTCACCACCGTCACCACCACGAGGCTACTCAACAAGCCTATGGGATTGCCAGGAAAAGCCAGCTTACCTGATGTCATCTCGGGGTATGCACCAAAATAAGGTTTCTGCTTTGCAAAAATAGCCATGCATTCTCGCCAAGATCACACGGATAGCTATGGTCTTCCATTCGTGCTGTTCTTGTCGTCAGAAGGAGAACTAAGCCCTCAAACCCTTAAACCGAAAATCCCAAGAAATAGTATGGTCTTCCATTCGCGCTATTCCTTTCGTCAGAAAGCAGAACAGGCCCACTACTACTACTACTACTAC